AGGGTAGCAACCTGGATCTTTGTGCAGTAGTTGTCTTTTTTTGATAACGATCGACTTATTGCTACGATGTTGTAAGCCTTTATGCTTTCAAGCTGTCGTTGGTAATATACATTGGGAACAATCTCCACTGCAATGAAAGATTGGTAGTTTTAGTGCATAAGTGGTCTCTCTTGCGGTAGGCCTTTTATTTAGGAATGTTAAGCTACATTAAGAGATCGCTAAAAATAAAATAGTTGATTATATGCAGCTGTGGACAGGGTCATAAAAAGTTGGAGATTTCGATCTTAGGATCCCACAGGAAAGCTGTAGATCATGGGTTTAGGCTTTCCTCGGTCACCTGCTGTTCAGCAGCGAATTGACCTTGTCGGCACTGCCTGATAATAATCATTCTCACACGCGAAGGTTGTTGTTCGTTTTCTGATTATTTTTCGGTTTTGTGAGTTATGAGGAACATTGTTAGTTCGAGTATACTCGCGTATTTAGTCTCGTTGTTCATTCACTTACTTCTCGGTTCTATTCGTTCACTTCAATTTGCAAATTTAATTACTCCCATCGCGTTGGTTAGACTAGGCTTAGAACTAAGGTATTCGACAGTTGCGCTTTCAAAAGTCATTCCTTGTGGTTGTACGAATGACAGATGAGGTCAAAAAGACTATTAATACTTGCACACACAGTCAACATTAAGCATTGGGCTGGTATAAGTACAACCCTATAATTCATCTAGCGTAACACTCAATACAAAGTATGCTTTCAGGGTCCATTTTTTCATCCAGTGGAAGCCATTAGAACTTATCTGATTCGGGCAGATTTTCTCGAACAAAGTTTATATAATCCATTTCTTTACCATAACCACCTAAAAAATCGTAAAGGCATGCATAAATGCTGCAAAGATGACCCTTCCCAATGCAGAATTTATATTTTTGACCACTTCGGGAGATCGTTCTTTTGTCTTATGAATCATCATTACATCAAATTAATTCAATAGACAATATCAACATAAGACCTGACACTACTGCATAGCTGCCCAAGTTGCTAAACTTTATGTCATTACATCAAGGGGAAAAGCACCAAGCTGAAAGATAAAAAACATGAAGAAGAGTTAGTGAAAGACAGCAAAAAGTGGTGAAAGAGAGTATTGAGGAATAAGAAAATAATAAATTCAGTATAACGACCAGGATGAAGCCAGTGTGTGGATAAATTTACGCCACTGACATCGATTCTGAACCATGCCGCCTAGAGTGTTTAACCACCGAGTTCCGTTGTCACGCGGACCCCAACAGGGAAGTCTACATCTGATTACATGGCTCAGACCAACAATCCAAGACTTCGTGCCATGATGCTATGCTTTAATCTGGCCGCCTCTTACGTTTGTCCGTACTTCAGTTAAGACTGCAAGGCAGGGTAGACAGTGACCAGGCTTGTGTAACATGTCTTAGCCACTTGAGCCAATGAAGGCTCATAACATCATCGTTTGATCTTTCTCATTTCCTCACAACTCTATACCTGACTTCTACATTAAGGAAATCGTAACCACGATATATGGTTTATACTACGAAGGCAACGGTGGTCGAACACGAAGCCGTCTTGTGTTCTCTACCTTTAATGATCACGTTTCACAGCCATACAGCAGAACAAAGCTAACTACATAGCAGTACACTATACTCTTAGTAGACAACTGGATACCACAGTGCTATTTTAATTGGCATAAGTTGATGAAAGCCAGTCGAACCCTTTGTATCCGTGGCGAGATTTCGTCGGTCAGTGACCCACCCGGGCTGATCCTACTTCCCGGATAAATGAAGTAATCAACGCACTCAGCCACCTCTCCCTGTTGTTAGACTGGATACCAGTGAAGACCAGTCCTGGAGCTAAAATTTGCACTTGGGTGGCGGGAGACGCATCTCAGAGATTTTCAGATTGCCAAAGTGTTCAGAATATTTGCATCTTGTCTGTGTCTTCATGTGACAAGACTATCACCTGTGTAATTTAGATCAACCATAGATTCCCCCTGCTAAGAACAATTCTTATAACGTCAGACGACTAAAGAGACTTCCGTGTGATAAAGTTGAACAAGAATAATGAGAGGTCCATCCTAGACGGACGCAACTTACTTGATAACTCATGATAGAATGTAACACACCCATGGGTTCCCTCAACAGTGAGCTATCTACTCGACACTTCTTTCAGTGAGGGGCACTGCCTTGAAATCTTGGTCAGTCAAATGCCACCTTCAGGGCAGGAAATACAGCCAGTATCCGGGGTTGGTAATATGCCTATTTTCCAGAACCTAGAGGAGTGTAGATATCTGGTCGGTATGTCCACGGGCAGGTTTGAAACATGCCTGTCTGTTTTCCGTAAGTTTGCTGTTCCTAAGCTCTGATACCTGACAATAAGACATCTGTTAATTGCAAACCTTGGATCGTAGACACGATTTCTCCCTTGTGTACTGTTACTATTCGTCTTTTCCATACTTTTAGCCTTTGTTACCCACTACTATTCTTGGTCGTCCATCTTGTCCATCTACATTTGAGTTGCTTCCAATTCTCCTTGTGCTTCCTAGAACACGTTCATGCGTTTCCATTAATTTTCTCATTAGTGTGATTTTTTTTCTTCCTTCCATCCAGAAATGTCCTTTAACTTGCGCGTAATCGCCCTCCAAACGTGCTCCAGAAGAAGCAGCAGTCTCCTGCCGTTCTCCTCCAGCAATAACTGATAGCAGCGTAATCTATCTGTATCCACCACTGAGTTGAGTTTGATAGATATCGTCAAAAGTGTTCCTGTTTGTCTGAAGTTCGTGTGGGTCAAAAATAAATGTTTCTCTAAGCATAAGTGTACCAGGCGATCACTTTCATCTGTTCATTCAGCTGATATTCCGGAAGTGTCTTTTTGCCTGACTTGGCTTACCCAGTGGTGCATTGAAATATCTGGCAACAACAATCACATGTGAACGTTTGGCTTTTTGTAGGAGACTAAGTAGTTTTGGATAGAACTTGTCCTTCACTTCCTCCGAACTGCAGTCACTGGGCGTGTAAGCAGAAATTACCAAGAGGCAACGATGATTTTCACTGTTCTTTTTAGTCCTCATTGCACAGTTTACTAGAACCGTCCACAGGCAACGGTCAACCGCAATCCAGTCAAGAAGTGTATTCCATAATGTATGACAGTGCTATAGCTACCTGCTAGACCGCTAGAACTAGCCATTGGATCTCCAGAAACTCGGAGGGTGAATTTTGCGAATCCACCATTTTGACCAGCTGGTATCAGGTGAATAACTGCACTTGCGTCCTGTCATCATCATCATCATCATCAATATCAACATAAGAACAGGCATTCCTGCCTAACGGTCCGAGTTGCCACAGCTCATATCAGTACAACAAGTAAAAAGGCAGTGAGGTGCAAGATGAAGATTAGAAAATTCAGTCAAACGAAATAGAAAGTCCGAAAAGAGAGAAAGAAAGAATAAGAAAATGGTGAAATTCGGTACAGCGTCGTTAAAATGAGGATAATGTGTGTATACATCTGCACCACTGACATCGGTTTTGAGCCATATCACCTAGAGTCTCCAACCACTGGTTCCTCTTGTCCCACAGACCCTAACTGACTAGTCTGCATCACCCCACATGGCTTGAACCAACAGTCACAGACTTGATGCATTGGTTCCATGTTTTAGTGTGGCCACCTCGGGCCTTTTTCCAGCCTGGACCTACTTCGGCCAACATTGTGTGATGAGGCAATCAGTGACTGGGCATATGTAATACGTGTTCCAAACATCTCAGTTGATGAAGGTTCATAACCTCGTCAACTGGACTTGTGTCCTGTATCGGTGTCTCACAAACATTGCACACACCCATGACCTGAGATACTAGAGTTTTGACTAGAAAAGCTTGTTGGCCGATTTGACAGAGGGTGCCTACGTTGAAAGCTTCAATGTTTAATTTCGAGCGTGGTTTCAGGAGACTAAGTATGCTATTATATGAACTGAAATCGTTATCAAGAGCTGCAGAGTTGGAAGAAATTAGAGATGAAGTAGGAATGTTGACCAGGGTACGTGACAAAATGTTAAAAGATCAAAATATGGGAGTTTGCTAATGATCTGAGGGAATATTTTTAGTAGTGACGGAGTTGTTAGGGTAGTTGACACTTCTCGTTTGCTTACACTGTGGAAAATTATTTCTTCTCAAGATGCCTGAAAAATAAATTTGGTTGATAATAGTGGTCCTTGACTACAAAGCTTAAAAGACATCTTCTTGAAGTTGATCGCATACTACCTTCCTATAACTTTGTGATTCTAGTTTCTTCCGAGTCCATCTATAAACCCATCACCAGTACACTGAGAGGTAGAGACGAGTGTGCCTATTTAGAGTTCGACTTATGCTAACCCACCTCCCTTCAAGGAAGGCAACATCAGTATAGTACTACTGTTTATCCTCGTAAAGCACTCCACTGCTGTCACACTTCGTCAAGCCAGCAGTAAAATGTTGCCATGGGTCGATATCATAACATAGCAATTAACATCATAAAAGCGACTGCTTTTTGTCTTACCTCCACTCAACTGACATTTGCGCTATGGTAGGACCCCAAGGGACCAAGTGTTCCAACGGTGTAGCTCGTTGGGTCATTTTAATGTGCGAACCCAACCACCAAGTCAGCGTAGCAGCTAACGATTAAGATGAAGCTGAAAACACTTTTCTTTTTATACTTATCCCACTTGTAAGTTGTTTTCTCAATTGCTCTGATAGTTTATCACCGTACTAATATTTTAAAGCCATAACCGAGGTTTGGGTAGCCACGTAGTATCACTTGCCCTAGCACAATTAGCGTGACTCATTGCCTGTTGCACGAATGTGCACGAGGATACTGAGTTCATTTCGATTTCGTAATGACTTGATGTTTGCAGAGACATTTCGTTTAATTCCTTAAAAACATTATTTAGATAGGAATTTTCACCTTATTGCAAGCTGACTTTGTTATCATGCAAACCTTTTTATTCCAGGGTATAGATGAGTGTTCAGTCTTTCCAATTATCAGAATTAGAAGAGAAAGCACGTGCGAATGCATTAAAGAGAGTTTCTGATCTCTTCCAAGTTAGTTTCACTTTATTTGTTTCGGTCAGTTTTTCTTCTAGAAACCTGAGCAACTGGATAAAATAGACCTTATAAAATCTCGGTTTTTAAATCAAAAAGTTAGTGAAACTAAACAAACCATATGCGTATATATTTTTTTTGACAGACTGCAACTGAAGCTCAACTTAAGATGGCGTTGTATAGCCAGTTGGATGGTAGTAAAGTTGGATTGGAAAAGTTGGATGCTGCTCTGGCTGAATCGCATACATGCAGAAATAGGTAAACTTTTTTATGTTTACTTTAGTGTAGGCTTATCCAACTGGGTTCATCATTAGGTAGTTTGGCTGGTTTGTCACACCAGTTGCATGAATTAAAAAATCTTTCAACTAAGTACAGTCAGGTAAGTGTTCCGGTTTCCTTTTTTAACACAAACATACAGCTGGGTGCTGCTATGGAAAATATGAGTTATCTTGTGAAAGCACCTGAACATTTTGAACAAGCTCGCACCTGCATAGAAGCAGAAAATCTTTTAGATGGCCATAAAATGTTGGTCACTTTAATTTTGTAATCATTCTTTTAATTCTGTTCAGAATGCAAGAATTGGAAGGCATTCGAGATGAGTTAATGTATGAAGTGTTTAGACAGAAGTCTATGGAAGATTTGGATGTGCGTAGTTATTCTTTTTTCTTTTATCAGTAATGTCATATTCGTTTCCTTTGTAGACATTACGTGCATTTTTCCGTGAGCTCGAAAATTTGAATGAGATGTTTAGACATAAAATAATTATGCTTGGATCACGTTTAACTAGTGCAGTGATTACGCACAATCGTTTCGTCGTCAATTGTATTCGTGTCATTGATCGAGAAGAAAGGTAATGTTCATTTTTGTTCACTTGGTATGACAATATGTTTACATTATTTGTTTTTTGCCAATGGCATTTTAGGATACGTTAACGTCGTAAGAGGCTTTTAAAATATCAGTTCTCATAAGGGGCTACTATGTACTTATATTATATTTCGTACATAGTATGTACTCACTACAAGTATGGATTCAAGGTGGTCAATATTTACTGTTTTCACAAAAATGTAGTTTTATATGAAGCTTTTTGGCTTCAAGTAATAATTGAGTATATACCGTTCCTTAAGGCAACTGATTGTGTATTTTTTGACTGTACGACCCTTACCTTCCCTTTGTTTGTTAAACAGCTGCTATCTCGACATCATGGTCGAGCTGATTTATCATTATTATCCAACGAAATAGGTTGCTAGGAACAGTTGTTCCTTGAGACTGCCATGTCAGAAAGGTCCGTAGGATAGTGTTAAGGCTAAAAGCAGTTATCTTCATAGTGTAAATAGTGTACGCTGTTATGGTCTGAAGGCGAAACCATACTGCTGGCCGGATGGGTTACGACTGCAGTACGATGACCAGCATTTCTTTTCGCTATTGATATCCCAACTGGAAAAGAGACTCAAAAAGGTCCGTGCGAAAGCAACACAGTATCCTTTACTGTGCGATACTCCAATGCATGTGGTTTGGGTTTTTTCTTGTCCAGCGTTAGAACAATCAACTCTTAATCTAACAATCTAAAAACGTTCTTGTGATGAGCCTCGAGCAGATGTCCCATAATCCTTGAGATCATGCAAAACGAACCCCATATCTTTCACATACTTTACGGAAACAACTTCAATGGTATGGGTAGCCGGAAAGTATCAGTCGCCACCCGCTACCAGCAGCATACAAAACTTATTCAACCATAAACTACATTTCCTACCTTTGTCCCCTTCCTAACTTTCACTTTCTGATGCAAATATTAAACATATTGCAACCTCCTCAGCCTGTCACTCTTCAACCATTGCTAGCGATCTAACTCAGCAAAACACCACACCTAGTCTCCAAAAACTACGCCATCACTTTCGCATTAGAGCTATCAACATCCAAACCCTATGGCAAATCGCACAACAGGCGTCTCTTTCCCAAACTATGGGATCTCAAGCCATAGATGCATACTATTTCTGAGATCCATACAGGACCCGAGTGTAGTTAATCACTAGACTTCACTTGATCAATGCTATGAATCAGAGAAATCCACTTGAAGAGTAAGTACGCAGAAATTCAACCATTGGTTCTTATGGACTTTAATGTAGGCATACTATCAGTCTTAGTAGAAAGTTCACTTCTTGAGCAGATACCAGTCAATGTTCGTCTATGCGTCGTGCGACTGAATTAGTTTGTAAGAACTGAAAAAGACCGTTACAGTCGTCGATTCGTACCCATATCGTCTGAATGCAGTTTGGTCAACTATAGCTTTGAACACTATTTGACTGAGCCCGATGATAAAAAAGTCAACGGTGAACACATCCGCATTGTTCGAACTTCTCTTTGTAGATACCAGACTTGAGAATTCATTTTCCAAATATTGTTCAGTTTATTTTGTCCTGTGTTGTTAACATCTTACATAATAACCAATTATAATTTTCGAACATATAAATTTTGAACACTAGCCATTGTCACAACTCGAATTTCTGCAAAACTGTCAACAGACTATATTGTACTATTACTAGATGTGACGAAAATATTCTGAAACCTTATTCTGTAAATCTTCAAAAATCTCTTTCACTTCTTCATTCTGTTCACATGTTTAGTCATTCTTGTGCTTATAATAAGTGAACTTGCTACATATATATGTGATGGTGCGATTACTGCAGCCATATTATAATCATTATTCACGAGTTCCAACCATAGCTAATTTTTGCAATATTGTAAATTAATAACCATGTGTAGTTTATAAGGAAGTAAGAACCTCTTCCTAGTTCGTGTCTGTTAAAAGGTCGCATTCCTAACAAAGAAATAAACTATTATTATTATTATTATTATTATTATTATTATTATTATTATTATTATTATTATTATTATTGTTACATCGTTATCAGTCATCGATAGATGACTGTTGTTTCTGGAATAACTGCTTGGATTCCGATCATGCATTAGCATGAGCACATGCACGTTTGCTCTTTCGTGAGTGCAAAAAACAAACAGGTCAGTTGAAAGATGAATTCAGGAACTGAGTAGATAACTTAGCATTTATCTGAACATGACAGCAATTTTCACCCGAATGAAGCCCGGGATAATATTTATTTCGCTGTAAAAATAGGGAGGAGACAAGTGAAAAGAGTAGGTCGTGGTTGGTTGGGTTTTGTATACTGCTTGAAACGTGTAGGTAGTTGGTGCTTCCCAGCTCCTCACATTTCGGAAGGGGTTTCTGTAAAGTACTTAAAAAAGAAAAGGGATTAATTTCGTGTGGCTTAGTCTATAATTTTCTCTACAGTATTTCTTTCGAAAGTTTTACTTAGCAGTTTAACAGAAAATCTTACGTTGAAGGGAAAACGCTAATATGTGACTGGACACTGCTAAGGAACATATATTCTAGCTACGAGTTTCACTTGTGATATATCTTTGGGTTAAGTGCATCGCAGGTACTGTGTGGAGGTTTATCTAATGGGCTAAGAGGCACACCAAATACCTGGCGCTTTATGATGCTATCCGTTCGTTCAGGCAGAAGTACATTAATTTAGGCCTGAATCTAGAACACATTTTGAATATTTCATCTGACCAAAAATCACATCCATTTAAAGCTAGCTATCTGCAGTGATATTATGCTATTTGTTTCTCACTGATAAATTGTTTGTATTTGATAAGACTTAACTTTTAATTGTTTCAGTCTTTATACCAGGTCTGAGTTTCATCATAATTGCCTTGACTTTGCTAATAATATTGATTAACGACTTGAGTTTAATTATCTGCTCTAATCATTGTTAACCGAATATAGGGCTGATGCGAATTGGCGTAAAAAAACAGAAAAACACGGTTTTATGCCAGATGGACGACCAAAACAGTGGAAGAAATTATTATTTGATAGTATTTTCAATACTATAAAAGACAAGTGAGTTTAAAGTAATCACCTGTAATTCTGTGAAAATTTAATGACTTCCAACAACTACTCATTTCACCTCCTTTCCGATATTCGATTATACAGTAAAGTCGCTGAAGTCAGAAGCTTCTGAATACCACGCATGAAGAACATAAGAATGAAATTTGGTATTGTGGTCGGGTATAATTTCATGTTAGTTTGTTAGATAATTACACCCAGCAAGATTATTATTATCACTATTCACTGGATGGCGTGTTTCAAACATAGTCAATTATACGTAGTCATATCGAAGTGCTTTTCATCTCTGGAGACACAGTTGTTGGTAAATGACTACTTTTAACCCACTTTAAGTACAAGGTATATGAAGTTAGTGCATGAAGTAAGTGGATGCACAAAATCTGAAGAATAAGAAAGGAGTAGAAAACTTCCATTTTAAAAAATACCAAAGTAAAGCTGAGGGTGTGTGATGACTCTGTGTGTTCGATCATCGTTGTTTCCGTTGGATTGCTCGTATCTGGTGACAACACCTTGTGAGAAATTTTAAGGTAAGACAGTATGTGTTTGGCATGATGGAAATCGTCGTTCAACAAATGAAGTCATCTGGAAACACCGGCTTCGGTGACTTGGACATGTGTTACGCATGTTGTCTCAACGGCTTCCATACCGTTCATTGTTTCCTAACCCTTGGACTGAATTGACGAAGCGAAAGGGTGGTAAGTTTATGACATGGTGCCTTGGGATGGAGGATGACTGTATCGCGTTAGCATCTGTTGGTGCATCACGACTCCCTGGGTGAGGTCCGAGAGATCATGCAATTCAGTGACTCGAGGCGTTATCAGATACGGCTCAGGATCGAAACTAGTGGGTGTCATGCTGTAGTTTTTTTTTAATCTTCTGGTGCTGAAAACTAAAAAATGTTTTGTTTCAAATGTATCATGCTATTCTTGTCATTTTTCTTTCTTACTTATCCACTTTCCATCGTTTATATCTCCACAATGTTATTATACTATTTTGTGTGACGCATTTCTTGGTACACCTGCTGTACATTGTTTGTGCTCTAATAGTGAATGATGCGAAAAGCCTGAAGAGGGTCTATCTGGAAACAGCATTGTTTGCTTATATGTCTTGTTCTTAAATGCAGTTTATTGAAACAATTTGACCGTGTAGGTTTAGTGAAACGTAGCCACTAGGTGTTCATTCCTTTCATTAGTATGTTGCTGACAAAATTGTTCATTGGTTCACCCTTATTATCAACGTTTAATTAGCGATTCTGCTAGATATAACCATTTTTTCTGATGGTAACAACGATCGAACGTTTTCAGTGTTTAGTCCCTCTCACTGAATGACCATGCATCACAGCCATAAAATCTAATCTAACGAGCACTTGTAGAGCTTTGGTTCATTAACCAGAGAATATGATTCATGTTTCAAGTCTCCTCCCAACTAATTGAGCTGGATAATATTACAAGCCCGCAGGCAATAATTTTGGTTACTAGCCTAGTTTAAAAACCTGTAGTAGGTTGAGTTGCATCACATTATAAGGAGCACTTGCGAAGCACATTGATTATACGAAGTAAAGTTGAGTCACCGGTTATTCGGTGGTAAATGTTTACTTGTGGTGTATGTTGAAATTATCTGACCATCTTGACTGATAAATCTGCTGGATTAGGCAATCCTTTTACAACTAGCGTATATTCTGTGGTGAGAATTATTATTCTTCAAGTTACAGCAAAATACTCTATGTATTTAAATCCCTTGGTAGATTCGGATCAAGGAAGAAGGATGAAATTTGCGGAACAAAATATCACTTTGTTTCATGAATTCTCTTCGGCCTCATACGGTCGAAAATCCCAATGGTTATTAGTACATAAGTTTTTTTCAAAACCAAGAAATTAACAATTTGAAGTTATATAACGAAATCACTGACAATCCATGTAATGTGTAAGCAAATTAGCTGTAAAGAGGTAAGAAATCAAATTATACCACATCAAATCATACCAAGGGAGTGAGAGACTAACCACACCCTCCTTCTATATGTGAAGGTCAGGTTGAAAGCGTCTTATTGCAATCGCTTCCGCAAGCGCAGCAATCCAGATATTCTCTGTACGTCGTTTATTTTAAAAGCACTCGAGGTTTCAACCTGATGTCCTTTGTCTACTAGGTGTCTGGCGACTACACTGGCTAGAAGTTTACTTCCTTTAAAGCATAGATTCTTGAGGTTATACTCAGCGGACCGAATGGATGCTCTCCTCTTAGTCCTTCAAATGTACTTCCTACCACAAGTGCATATGGTTGGAGGTGAGATGAATTGGTTAGGTATCCAATTTTGACTGGTTTAGCGAGCATGTGGTATTGTATACTGATACAAGTTTAGCTGCAGGAAAGCTCGTTCCTAGAGCTCCTGTGATCCTTGCATCTATTCGCTTGGATAATGCATCGCCCTTGAATGTAAGGTGTATAAAAACCTTCTTTTCCACAGTTGGTCTGTTTATTTCTCTCAATCTATTCTTTTCTACACTTCATTACAAATAACAAAGGTGTCGTCAACTTACCTGCGGTAATGTGTTGTTTCTCTGAACCTCCTTTTACTTCGGTCTGTGTCTGTTCGCAGCATTGCTCGCCTTTGGTGGGATCATCATGTGAGCAATGTTGAGGTCAGACGATCAGTGGTAGGCAAGACAGGCAAGTCAGTCGATGAGGTTGTGAACCTTAGTCGACTGAGATGGCTTGTGCATGTACTGCATATGCCGGGCAAGCCACTGTTTACCTCGATGTCCTATACTAGTGGGAGTTGGATTAAGTTGAATGAGGGTTCAAGTTGACCAGAGCAAGATGTGGCGCCAGTCAATGGAGTTCCTGACTGTTGGTTTGAGGCATGTTGCGAGATGTAGACCACCTGATTGGGGTTCTCAAGATGAAAGGAATCAGCGGTTGAGGACTCTTGGTAACACTGTTGGAAGTCGGTCACAATGGTGCAGGTGTGTTCACTCCTTGACGTCTTCTAAAGCTTGAATATTTTCACTAATCGTTATCTTCAAGTTGTTTATTCTCTGACACAAATTTGTTTACTTTGACAGCACTTTTTTCCTATCCACTTCTTTGTGTACTACTGTCAAGTGTGGCAACGTTAACCGATGCACTTGTGAAATTCTACGTTGATTTGTTTGTCTGTATGACTTCGGTCTGACCAAATTCGATATTACCGTTGGTATTGTTTCGTAAGTTTTCCCTACCATTCTTTCTTGGAATTCTCATCTCAACTGACAAAGAGAACAGAGTTAAGAATTACTGAAGTACGTCATTGAAGTTAAGCTTTGTTTATCCTAAGTACTTAACTTTCAACTGTTTGGCCGTACATTCCAAACCCGCACCACCTATCTAGTTGTAAGTGGTTAGTTAGCAGCATTACTCGTTAAACAATGGTTCCGGTTCATTGCCTGCTGTATGCACATACATTTGGTGACTTAGTCAAACTTACAGATGTTTTATTAGCATCATTGCTTTGTTGTTTTTCTGTTAGTGTAAAATACTTGTATTTTTCAGGTGGTGGTCATCATAATATGAATTTAGATAACCTATATCATCATTATCTGTAACGCTAACAAACAGTTTTTTGTCTTGCTTCATTCTATGATACAGAGTATTTGGCAGTGCATTAGACAATGAGAATGATAAAAATAAACTAGTTCGACATAATGAAGCTATTAGACAGCATACTCTAGCAGATTTGAAAATTGCAAAGGTGAGTACTATAGTTAAAAACAAACCATATAGGTTGTTAACGGAATTATTTGAATCAGAACTTTTAGGTTGTTTAGATTTTTTTCGGACCACCATTTTTCCTATCAGTCAGATAGACATTGGAAATTAATGGACTGATTCCTTCTTCTGTTCAACCTCTCAGATGTAAATCGTCACAAGAGTTTCTAAACTTGAGAAGCATCAAAATGAAATGTAGTAACTGTTGAGTACACTTTGATTTTGAGGGTTTTTTTCAGTGAACATCGTCTTGTCATTCTCTCTCTTTCTCTCTCATTCATCGTATAATAATAATAATAATAATAATAATAATAATAATAATAATAATAATAATAATAATAGTGACCGTAATTAAGTCATTCATTTCTGAGTGGTTCAGCGAATGTTTGTTTGCGTGCAAAGAATAATGATTAATAGAATACTAGATAAGGGTATATTTAATTGTGAAACTGTTAAGTATTTTTGTCTTCTGATGTCAGCAAAGGATGAAGTGGTTCGGATATAAATTATCGTTTGTAGCATAAGTCGGCCATACGGTGACCTGGTCAACCTTCATTTACGAAGTGGTTGGATTATAGGTTACTTATGTCTATTGAAGACTGATGTTAGACGAAATGGAAGCAGGTTTATAAACAATTCCTAGGGTAGAAGCGAGAATATACCACCTGAATGGAGCTTTTAAATATTGATTTAAACCTGAAGCAACAGCGTTAAGCTATCAGGATATGCTTTAGGGGAGATGAACGATTCTTGATTTAGACAAGAAATCAAATGAGATAAAGTTTAACTTTTGTCTACAACTCCAGCCACTCAGTTTTCGCCTTATCAGTACTGTTCATTGTTACAAAATGAATGTAACATGGAAAATCAGAAATATTCATTCATATCCACCCAAACTACTGAATGACAATTTAGCGCATGTGGTGCTTTTAACTATGTATTGAAGACAGAAGTCGTTGATTAACTCTGTAAGATTAATAAATCTATTATCAGCCAAAACAGTTTAAAACCTCTTGAAAAAGTGCATTGATTCACTTTTCCATAATTCTGAACAGCACAGAATTATAAAAATCAATACAAGTAGGATGATACCACAAGAAATAAGAACAAGAAAAAAAAGTAGTGTATGCATTTATATCATCGTGCTGAATTTAAATCAAGAGGTTGTACAGGACATGGTACATCAATGATGAAATTCTCGTCTCTCGGGTGTTTTTCTGTTTCTGTAACAAAGGTAAAGTTTAAAAAACGATATTCTCACTATACATAATAAGAATGTTTGTGGGAAATTTACAGGATGTTTTGCAGCAGTAAACAACACATGTCAATGCATTACAATAGACTTTGGTTGCATGTAATATATTATTTCTTATAAGAACAATTCAAGTACACAACTCTATGATGTATCCTCAGAAAAATAATTTATATGGATCTGGGTAACATTTCAAACTTATTCAGAAGATACGGTGCAGATGAACAAAAACAAGCTTATTTCTCATCTAAACATGAAAATTCAGGATTTACTCACATGAGAAATCTAAAAGATTTGCAAACTCCACAAATAAATTCAATCATATATAGTTTTGATACTTGTAATTTCCCGTAGCTGTATAGGGCCGGATCGCTCGACCTCTTGGCAGATGGATTCGGATGCAGATGCCTCGATACTGCTGGATATTTATGATTTTATATTGATCTTAATGACTATCAGATGAATCCAGGACTCGCATTTCGTCCCATCTGGGACTCGTCAGTTGGATAGTAGATAACCCTCCGGCATATATATATATATATATATATATATATATATATATATATATCGTCGACCACCTTGACAGTGAAAAATAGATGATGCTAACTCTGGCTTGTGTGTCAACCAAACATTTTGAGCTAGAAGTCGTATTTACGACACAAAAGAGGTGACTGGAGCTTTCGGCTGTAACAGGACTCTCCTTTACTATTTAGCTGACAAGCCTAAATGAATATGGTTTAGTGCATCTATTTGACAGCAGATGTCTCATGGGTCTCGATATGCGTAACCGCTGTTTTTACAAGATATAGATTTCCGACTAGGAATATGAGTACTGGAGATACTCGTCTTTAGTGTTTCAAGTCGAGAAGTCCATAGAAGCCAACTGTGACTCTAAACTAGATAGTCTTGAGAAGACTACGGAGGTACTACTGGGGACGATCTGTAATCAAGGCCTTGTTATGCTTCCAATGGAGTGACTATCCAGGTACACCCTTACCAGTTCATCTGCTGTCTTAGTCACATCCTTTAACCCACCGATTTTCAAGGATGTATTTTGAATTCGACGTTGTTTGCCAGTCGTTATAATTGCATTTGTTTCAGACCGGTCTCATTCAACTTGTGTGAGTCTACTAGGTGTGATAATTGTTTGGTGTTTTCCGAGTTTTGAGGTTTGTTCTTGGACGTCTCATGACCACGCTAGGCAATTTCATCAGCATCTACTTTATCAAGCGAACATCCAAGAAAAATCTTCAAAGCTCGGAGAATATCAAGCAACTGTTATCCTCATCCTGAGCTACAAATCTTCTCTACTGTTTATTGGGTGTCTGGCGCATGTTAAAAATTGTGGATACTTCTTGTCACTGAATTCGCAAATGGTTAGGTGTTACTGCATACGATTTGCATCTAATACTGATAGCCATCGTTTTACTGCTGACTTGCACCTTTTATATGTGGCTTGTTCTGGTACGTGATCTGTCAGAACACTGACCTCAGTAGCAGCTTCCAACAACATAGGCATCTTTATATGCCTTAGAACGTATGCTACAAGTCATATATGGGGCCTCGATTTTAGTCCGTGAAATACTTTGGTTGTAGCCACATAAAAGAGGACATAGGTCAGATATACGTGTGTCGATCTTACCTTTTTGTTTATATCCCGTCGATGCCCTGATGAGCAATACAACAACTGTTCACGTGAATACTTAATCGTGCCTTGTATGTTATTCATGTCTATCTATGCAATGTTTATATATGTAGGATGGACATATGAAACTATCATCAGCTTTTCATGCACCTGTTCTCTTTAAAAATTTTCAGAATATATGCCCAACATATTTTCCAGCGGACTATGCTATATTCGATCGGTTTGTTGAAATGTATCATGAAGCGATTGGAATGCATGTACGCTAAATATTGGTCAGTAAAATAACTTGTTCCTGTTACAGGTTGAAAGCTTAGTACTTGAAGGTCTATCTGATACAGAGATTGTCCAGTTACTCGGTTGGATAAATTCTTATCAGTAAGTTATAAAGAACCTTATCTTAATATAACTTGTTATTTTCTTCTAGCACTGAAGAGTTTATGAAGAATCCTTTCATGAATATTGACTTCAACCGGTTGAACTTGAAGCATCCAATCAATCTGTTACCTGAAGAGACGTTAAATACACTTCGGAAGCAGTGAGTTTTTAAATTAGGCACTTTATGGTTACTTGTGAATCCTTCGTCTTTTTGTGGACGTGTAATCTTTGGGAACGTAGTTTCCTCGATTTCAGCACTTATATTCAATTGTTCACAAATCTGAACCACTTGTCAAGTTTTTACAGCCATGTATTATTATTGAAATTTACACAATGTGAGTTGTTCATGGCCTAGAACTTGGACTTGTATTCAATTACTAAATTGAACTATACATAGGTTTATGATTTAGTTATATGAAACGTTTAAACTTTGCGTGTTTTCTGCAGCTGAGCAACCAAACTTTGTAAACCTATCTCCAAATGGCTGCCAAATTGTAATGTCTAAGTTACTACGCCGATAAACCAACCATATGAAAGACTCGTTCTATCAAATTAATTCCCAAGTTCAAATTTATGCAGTCTGCCTATATTTTACTGCTTTACTGAATATCATTTCTTTTATATTGCACACTTTTTAGAGAGTTATTCATACTATTGCGTACAGGTTTTCAACTGTTTAATATACATTTGCTTTATCTCCCTAATGTTTTCAAGTATATTTTTCCCTTAAACTCTTTTAACCTTTTTTTTAGGTATGTTTCCAAAACTATTGAACGGTTAAAGTCATGGTTTGCAAACTCGCTTCTTAAGGATACATCTGTAAGTTCATAAATATACCCCTATCTTAAGACATAATTTTAAGATGACAGGTGTCTAGATAAACAGACCTCATTGATAAGTCAGATTTCCACTATATCTGTATGAATATTTTCCAGGACACTTATTGCATTGTATAGATCCTACCTAGCATATATCTCCATTGAATATTACATATTCATTGTACGTGAATTGATCTTTACAGTGTCGTTCACAAAAGTGAAAATTCCAGCTCAAAATGATGATCTTGGAAGCGTTACTACCTTTAAATCTTTGGAAAATTAAACAATGAAGCCTTCATTACTATTCCATACTATATTATCATACAAAACTCCAAGGAGGTATGAGTTATATATATTTTCTTCAAATAGCTTGGAAGATATCCCCGACAATCAGTGATGTTGACGGTTTTTTCGATCACTTTGCTATCACTGCATACATTAGTCTTCTCTGAATGCTTATTTTAGTGGAGTGTCGTTTGAATCCGCAATTCCTCCACCTATTAGTAAATTGGATTCTTATCTCTTCACCTGCCAATCTGAAGATTATTCAGAGTACTAACCTTCAAAAATCACTGGCTTTCTTCGAGTTTCCTCTATCCAAAATTGTCACTATGAAAAATGACAGTGTTTAATGTATGTGTGTTATCATGTGCAAGTGGTCTGTGGTCGATATGAAGTTTTGTAAGTACACTATATCAAGCGGTTCTTCTATCAACGACATTGGGTCATTTGGTTTATTCGTATAAGTAACTGAACTAATCAGATGCATTTAACGACCATTATTTCACTTGATAAACATTTGTACAGTGTCTAATCATGTAGTGAAGTTGATTGTATCACTTGACATCAGAATTGTCTGGGAGTTGAGCAGAGCTACGTCTCATTGAATGATCGTAAATCGAGTCAAAGTCATATTCTCTTGATTTCAGGTTGGTATTCATCATGAACTGATATCGGTCGAAGAAACATTGGAAACCTGGGAGCACTGGACAACTGGTTCGTCCTAGTATGAGGCTCCCTAATAGCTCGCACCTATGACCTCACCTCTCTAGGATCGAACCCAGGGCGCTCAGATTCCTACGACTAGCACGTTACCGCTGAGTCGGAATGCAATGGTTTATGTTTCCTACTTCTGTCAGTTCACGTTATAGCGCCATCTCCATCCGATGCCGTCATTGAGTACATGTCCTCATGTTCGACTTGGTTGGCCGCACCAGTCACGACTTCTCATTGAAACCTCTGAAATCGCCTCTCAAAGCTAGTCAAGCCACCAATGAGAACTGGATTAATTCAATTTAGAGGTTAGTGGGGACATATTTATTGATTTCAGGTTGATATTCACCACTAAATGACATCATTTGGAGAAATACTGGAGACCTAGGTGCACTAGAAAGCTGTTTCGTCCAAGTATGGGACTCTTCAGCAGCACCTCCCATGACCCCCCTCCTTCTAAATCAAATCTTTTTTTCGTCTTCTCTCTTATCTTATGTATAAACATTATTTCCCAGCTGAATCTATTCATTTTATTGAAATATGGATCATTATATACAGTTCTAATTATTCTATTGTTTCTTAGGATTGGCAACGTTCAACAGGTCCTGAGTTAGATGGGTCTTCCAATTATTTCACTGATTTGCCGGTATTAGTCATGACACCTGTCAATGAAATGGTAAGATATTTATATTAAAATATATGTTTAGCATTTCTATAAGATTAACGAGTAGTTTTCTGTGCAGTTTTCGTCATCGTATCATTGGAGAATAACTATTAATTGTACAAAAAGACTAAAAATCTCAAGAGATGTCTGTGTACATGTGGAAACGAGTCTTTGTAACCTTGCGATGTTTACTATTCCTGGTTGTGTTTACCCTTTTCATCAATTTATGTCCGTAAAACGTGATGTAAAGAACTGTGAACTGGGATGATTGAATATATATTCGCTCATGGTACCGAACTTATCATGGTACAGAGGTGTTTATTTTTGAACCCTAACAGAATGAATATCATAATATAAGGTTTTCTACCAAATAAATAGAATCCAGAAAATGCTTATTCATCTTACGAAGTGTTGGTCGTCTTAATGCGACTTGAATGCAGTGTTCATCACTTCGAACACCAGAGAATTATGCAGTAGCCAACTGAATTGTAGCGTATACATGTTTTATTCAGCGAGTGAAGTTTTCACTCAAGTTTTCGATTTTTGCACCCAATAGACCACTCTTTCGAAGTACCGGTTTATTTCGCAGATGATTTGACATTGTTTGCTTTGCTATAGCTAAAGCTTGGATTACTCTGCCCATCCTCTCAAAATACTGTCATAAGGCACTTACTGCTTCTGCTACGAAAGCCTTTTCCAATACCTTCACACGGCGATCGTGTTTCCACAAAAGTCAGACAGTGTATGAAACACCGGTGCCTGTGATCGAATTGATAAATATAGACAAAACAAATAAGAAAATCAGAAAATCCCGATTCCAAACCACTAGCAAACACATACTTTAGCATCGAGAACGGACTAATGGCCTACGAACACTGCTCGGACACTGGTAACCATGGAAAGCACCGAATTCCGTTGTTTTACTCTCTTATAGATCAGATTTTATGCCAAAAAGTCGAAAAGTGTTTTTAGAACTTTGTTTGGGCAGTAGTAATAGTTCCAGATAATTGCCAACGTGAACATGGAGGTTTAAGGACCTGGATAGGCGCTAACAGAACACACGATAAGAACAAGGAAAGCAGAAGGCACACGTCACAGTATTTGAAAGGTTGTAATTAATTGTACTTAAGGATATCCAATGTATATTCGCAAAACTATTTTCAGTAATAATATGGTTTCGGTACGTAGGATGTTTGCAAAGATATTTGAATAAAGTTACATGGAATAGGTAACAAGTGGTACATACAGTAAGACGACCATCTGCTTCAACCTGGGTGTCTGAGAATATCACAGCTAATATACAAATAATGAAATAACTCTGAAGCACAGAAATCCAGTAAATTGGTCAAGCCTTCCTGTAATTACTCAAGTATATCCTGCAAACCAAACTCAAATATTCTGTCATCATCATCAATATCAATATACGACCAGGCTTTACTGCGTAACGGTCCGAGTTGCCACAGCTCATATCAGTACACCAAGTAAAAAGGCAGTGAGGCGCAAGATAAAGATAAGAAAATTCAGTCAAACGAAATAGAAAGTCCGAAAAGAGAGAAAGAAAGAATAAGAAAATGGTGAAATTCGGTACAGCGTCGTTAAAATGAGGATAATGTGTGTATACATCTGCACCACTGACATCGGTTTTGAGCCATATCACCTAGAGTCTCCAACCACTGGTTCCTCTTGTCCCACAGACCCTAACTGACTAGTCTGCATCACCCCACATGGCTTAAACCAACAGTCACAGACTTGATGCATTGTTCCCATGTTTTAGTGTGGCCACCTCAGGCCTTTTCCTAGCCTGGACCTACTTCGGCCAACATTGTGTGAGGAGGCAATCAGTGACTGGGCATATGTAATACGTGTTCCAAACATCTCAGTTTATGAAGGATTATAACCTCGTCAACTGATTTACCTCCACTCCCTAAAAATCTATACTTGACTTCTGCGTTACTCACGTGGTGACACCACGAAACGCAGCCTATGCCATAAAGGCAATGGTGATCAAACACCTGAACCCAGCCTTCTCATGTCTTCCACCTTCAATCGTCATGTTTCACAGACATGGATACAGTAGAACAGAGCGGACTGCTGTGCAGATGCAGTACAAGCGACCCTTAATAGACAATCGGATATCACGGCGGTGCCGTAGGTGGTGTAAGTTGGCAAAAGCCAGCTAGCCGAGCCGTTTGTAATCTGTGCAGAGATTTCATCGTCCACTGAGCCACTAGGGAGGGGCTGATCCTGCTTCCCAGAAAGTGAAGTAGTCGACACACTCAATCACTACACTCTCTATTGTTAGCCATGATGGGGCACCGTTGAAGACCAACGCTGGAGCAACAATTTGCATTTGGGTGGTGAGAAACGCATCCCAAACATTCTCAAATTGCCACTCAAAGTGTTCAGAAGACTCTGCATCTTGTCAGCATCTTCACCTAACACGACTATGTCATGTCATCTGCATATTCTAGGTGTAATGAAAATTCTCCTTTGATTAGATCAACGTCTGTGTAATCAGGTGACGAGAGGGAGACCTCCATGAGAATATCTAAGATAAAGTTGAATAAGAATGGAGAGAGTGGGAACCCTTGATGGACACCACTCGATGAGCACAGCTCCGCATATATCTCACCATAGGCTCTAACATGCCAACAAGTGTTCGAGTAGGGCGCCTTCAATGAAGTGATGTACTTACTCGACACGCCTTTCAGTGAGAGACACTGCCATAAGACTTCTCGATCAACGGAGTCGAATGCCGCCGCCTTCAGGTCGAGAAATACAGCTAGTGTTGCGCCTCGATAGGCGTGCCTATGTTCCAGAAGCTGGTGGAGTGTGAATATTTGGTCGACATACCTGTGGCCGGGTCTAAAGCATGTCTGCCTGGTTTTCTCGGACTTGTTGTTCCCGATCTGCACTCAGGCGTGTCGAAGAATTATAGAACGTAGAATCTTGGACACTATGTTTGTCAGACTGATTCCTCTGTGGTTATCACAAGAGGACTTCTCACCTTTCTTGAAGACTAGCACAATCAGCAATTCAGACCAGTCAGAGGGTATCGTATTTGATTCTCATGTACTGGTTAACACTTCTACTAACCTGACTAAGAGCACCTTACCACCATCCTTGTATACCTCTGGAGCTAGTCTGTCTGGTCCTACCACCCTTCCTCGTTTCAAGTTACCTACTGCTTGCTTGACTTCTCTGAGTGTTGTGGGGCCTATCTCAATGTTCCATTGAGGATCCGACTGGAAAGCGGGCAACGTAATGGTGGCTGGAGGCCAGTTAAACTGTTCCTCGAAGTGTTCTGCCCATCGTTCCAGTTTTCTCCCCTGCAAGTGAATCGCAGATCCGTACTTCTCCGCTATAGCCTCACTAATTGTTGTTGACGTTTTCGCTATCCGAACACGTACTCCAGAAGGAGCAGCAGTCTTCCACCGATCCTCTCCAGCGATGACTAATAGCACAGTTGTAGCAGGCGATCACCGTTATCTGTACGTTCAGCCGGGATTCCGAAAGTACCACCTAAGTGCCTTACTGCCTCACTCAGTCTACCCACCTGTGCATTGATGTCACCTGCCTCAAACACCACGTTCGAACGTTTGGCTTTCGAGAAGAGGTTGGACAGTTTACGGTAGAACTCGTCCTTCACTTCATCCGAACTACAGTCAGTGGGTGTGTAAGCAGAGACTACAAAGAGACAATGGCAAGTCTCACTATTCCTTTTAGTTCTCACTGTGCCATTCAGTCGGATAGTGCAGAGGCGACTACCAACTGGGATCCAGTCTAGTAGTGAGTTTTCTGCCCTAGTGTTTAATGCTATGCCTACACCTCGAAGACCACAAGAGCTAGCTAACGAATCTCCAGGAACTCGAAGAGTGAATTTTGCGGATTCATCAGATTGGCTGGGAGATGTTAGGTGAGAATAACCGCACTGAGGTCCTGTATGAGTGTCTCACAAACACAGCACACATCCATGACCCGAGTTGCTAGAGTCTTTGCCAACAAAGCCTGTTGACCAATTCGACGGAGGGTGCGGACATTGAAGGCTCCAATATATAATTTGCAGCATGGTTTTGAGGGATCAAGGTTGCTGTTTTTCTGAGTCAGATAGTTGTCGAGGGATGGAGAGGTAGGAGAAGTTGAAGATGATGTAGTATTGTTAATTGAGAGACGTGAAGGAAGATTAGGGTGTAATGATGGGGGAGGGTGGGTAGCAGTCTGAGGAAACTGAGTGCTGATGGAGTTGTGAGGGTGGTTGACACTTCCCGGCTGCCCACACCGTGGAAGGCTATTTCTTGTCAAGGTACCTGAAAGAGATTTGTGTGACCACAGAGCCCATCGGACATCTGCTTGAGGCCTGTCACACGAAGCCTTTTGTGTATGGTTGTTTTGAACTTTTGTATTTTTGGGACTGGATGGTGGAAGAGAAATGACAAATGAACTATCACCACCGGCCTGGCAGACCGTGGTGTATGATGGAGTGTGTTATTTTTGGGGCTGACCTTTTCTAACCCCCCTCCCCGCTGACATTGAGAAGGCAGTATCAGCATGACACTGCTGGTCATCATTCAAGGGAAACACCTTACTGCTCCCACACCTCATCCAGCTGGCTGCAGTACGACTTCGTCCTCAAACTTCCGTTATAGTTTAGTAATTTACACCACAACGATAACGGTAACTGCTTTTCTTCTAACCACTATCCAACAGAAGTTTTAGGTATGGTAGGACCTCGAGGGGACAAGTGTTCCACCAGCATAGCTCGTTGGGTCATTGTGATATGCAAGCCCGACCACCACGTCAAGTTAGCAGCTATCTGTCATTTCACCTAATAAAGTATGCTGTTTCTCGTTATTATTTTCAAATTTACCTATATATTTGTGTTCTTGTTTCACTCAAGTGCCTGTTTTTGGCCGAAGTCTCAGTTTATTTGCACCATTTTCAGTAGCTGAACTGTTGCTTCCAAAAAGTTGTCCCGTAATGGACTATCTGATCCTCCTACTCTGAAACCATGC